TTTTTATTGTACTGTACAATATATATTTTTTTCATTACCCATATTGACCACTTTTGCCTTTCTAGCTAGATGTCCCGAGGTTGTAGGCCCTTTTCTCCATAACCTTGTGGGGTGCTCTTTGTTGCCATCTGGAGCTTCTTCCCATTTGGCTAAGATGGCCAGTGTCAGTGGAGATGATTTGACGCTAATTTACTAATCATCTACTTTTGTGGCGGTTTTTAAAAATTGTCTGCGTTGGCAACATTAAGCCCACCAAATATTTTGTTTTTTTCTTCTCTTCTCTTCTTATTTATCCTATATGCCCTGCTGGCAATAACCGTAACTTGAGAAAAGAAAAGTCTTGAGAAAAGGCCCTATCTCGCTCAGGTGTAAACAAATCGCCTCATGCGACTGTCATGTATCCATGTGCTCAACACATATCAAATGAGCTTTTATTTTGTAGTCAAACCAGTGTGATTTAAAAAATACAGAATCCATGGTAAAAATAATTTTGTGGTCCCACTGCCAACTCTCAAAATACGGTTAATTTGTCAATAATTGATAAGAGCTTTATTTTGGCTTTTTTCTCGAATGGTGATGAAATTGTAACATTAGCAAAAAAGGCTATTCATAGAGAGATTTACGCAATTTTTTTTGGTTGATCCTTAAGCCGAGGAAACTTTTGAATAGCTGCACTGGTCACCTGCTAATCGTAACATTACAGTCAGGCAAATGATCGTAACTCCAGAAAGAACAATAGTGCGTTTGAACAGCAGAATGAGTGTGACAGAGCATAATGTTATCTCTGCACTTGTCGTTCGTTTTCCTGTTGGTCAATGTTTAGGACGCTTAAGTAGGCAGGAAGTGTTTAATGTTTAACATCGGTTGAGATGAATTTAGGCAAAACTGTAGAGATACCTCATCATTACTTTTGTCGCTTGAGCTTTCCATGGGAAAGCGAGGTGTCAGATGAGTGAGCGTGAGTGAGCATCTGGGCGATGCTATTTCACAAATAATACTATTATTGCATCTTTTTACGGGTCCTATAAGCCAAGCCTTGGGCTATAAGAGGATTCTACGATGAGCTTGGGCTGAGCTGGTTAAAGCTGAATGATGTGTCATCTACACAAGTGCTGGTCATTATCTTTCCACTACTATATTTAAAAGTTCTAAAGGCTTCTCTGTCAGCCAAATAATTGCGGTTACATGTGAGTAGACGATTTGCGGCACTATGACTTCATTACTTTTCTGTTGAAAGCAGATTCACTTTCTTTTGTGAGTTCGACAAATCTAAACGACTGGTATGTTTTTGATTTGGAATGGTATCCATAAATGCTTCGGAAGCAAAAGAGTATGGTAAAAGCCAAAAGTGCTTTAAATTTTCTTCTAGTTCCTTTGCTCTTATTGACGTAGGCATAACCTTTTTGTCATATGTTCATCCATTGTTAGAAACATATAACAGTCGCCGTTCAAGGAAATTTGCTGAAAATTGCTAAGATACGACATTTTATAAGTCCAATCATGCAGCACTGTATAATAACATGTGGAAAACTACGAAGTGCTTATATAGAAATAATGAATCAGAAGTAGTTGATGCTTAAATTCTAGGCAGTTCGCGGACCGCTGTCACGAGCGTTTGTTGCGCGAAAGATAATTTTGGGACAAGATGATGTTGATGCTTCATGCCTACAAGTTATGTCGGAAGAATTACGATTTGGGACCTTTTATCCTCAACGCGGGTGCTTGTTGCTCGATCCTACAGCATTCTGGGGACATTCCTACGAGAAGTTTATGGGAGTATGTAATAAAATAGTTTTTCTATTATCAACTGCAGGAAGCCCTAGTTTTATGCTCAACCAGGATAAAGACGTTCTGGTTACCATATTCTCGCGTGAGTGCTCATCAGTTGCTTGCCCTCGCGATTTGTTTCTTGGTATGCCAATCGAGCTTAGTGGCGTCAAACGTACTTATAGAAGCAACCGCAAGCGAAGTAGGTTGCTGTCGCAAGTCCTTCATACGGCCTTTAATTGACAAATTCTAGGTATCGACTATTCCTTCACCTTATTCTTAGTGCAGTATGACAAAGATATTAGATCATCCTTGATCGATCGGTTCACGTCTCATGGATTTGAGAATGTTCCACTTATTGCTGGGGAAGAAAACAAATTTGCCCATATATTCTTCAGGCCGCGAACATCACTTGTTGATTATCTACCCCTTCTCAGCTCCTATGCTGTTTTTACCGTGGGTTTGAAATGTTACAATATTTTTGTATCATTAACTCAGCTCTTCATTATAGTTTTACCTATATTTCTCCGCCCGAAAATTTGAAATGGTAGCGTCAAGATGGGGTCTTGCTCTCGCTGCTGCCTTTACTGTAGGCGCCACTCTTCTGATGACTACGGGTTGGTAAAATAGAGCTATTTTTTTCAACATTTTATTATCCACAAATCTATCTAGGTGTATGCGCTCATTTGGAATTGAGTCCGACATTGTGGGGTGCCGAAATATTCCCTTATATTGCTCTAATATTGGGTCTAGAGAATATCCTATGCATCACAAGGTATGCACATTTTGCAAGCTTTGCCCCTTTTATCTCAAAATTCATACCGAGATGATACTTGCTCGCTTAAAATTACTGAACATGTGTATACAAACTCGTTTTAAGTATTTCAAATTTCTTTTGAGTTCCTGAAATTATCCTTCTCTAACCAATTTGTGACTGGGGATGTCTTGTCGAATCTGTCGCGTAAGACTGATTGATGAACTAGCCGGCAATTTGTTATTGAGCATAGTTCAGTCAGTCAACAAGCTTTGGTCCAGCTGCAGATGCTTTTATATCTTCATATCTATATTAGATTCATAACTTCCTTACGATGAGATTCTTGCATCATTCTACATGCTTGCTACTCTATCATTGCCATCTCACAGCAAAGTTCCCATTCTTCTTCTAGAGATGCAGGTCCCTTTTTCAATAAAATTTCTTTCTTTTGTTTGTGCACTTTTTTCTATTCCATAATTTTTTCGATTTCATCGCATACAATACTATTCCAAGTTCCTATTACAGCTTCCCTAACAACCGCCAATCTGCCTGCTTCTCATTTTTCTTCTTGTCTTTTCAGCTGTCACGTTGGCAAGTCATTACTTCCTTATGGCATATAAAGTTCCATTGGAAGCGCTTTTTATATCACAAGATATTTTAGAAAAGTACCCGGAAGTTTCTCGGGTTTCAAACTATGCCCATTGATTTTTGTTTTTTTCTTGCTGATGAAGATCTGGGGTGGAATGTATCAATCTCCT